CTCTCTCTCTCTCTCCTCTCTCTTCTCTCTCGCTCTCTCTCTCTCTCTCTCTCTTCGTAAGGTGCTGGTCTAGCAATCTTGCGGACCTGCGTTCAAATCCACGCCCGGCCAGTGAATCGTAACCCCGGCCATTCCTTGCACACAGGGGGAGATTTGGGCAAAAATAAAACAGACAGTATGTCACAGCAAAAGACTTATATCTCATTGTTTGGGACAAATGGTTTAATTTCGTGGTTGATAAAGAGCAATCAACCATTTTAGAATACATATAAACATGCTCCCAATATAATTATTATAGTAACACAAGTAATACTCTAAAATATCCCTCCAATATAATATACTGTAGTAATCTTGGGATACTATAAAAACGTCCTCTCAATATAAATACTACAGTAATCTCAGTAATTTACTATGAAACATTTTCTCAATGTAATACTATAGTAATCTCGTAATACCATAAAACATTCTCTCAAGATGATACTATGAAACATCCCCACAATATAACACTATGAAACATTCTCTCAATATGATACTATAGTAATCTAGTAATGCTATAAAAGAGTCTCTCAACATAAAAGACTTGAGAGAGGCCTAATTCCTGCTCCAGAAGGATAGACTGTGGCAGTAATAATGGTAATATACAATTTACATATATTATATAATATATACATGCATTAATGTTTATGTGTGTGCGCACGCGTGTGTATGTGTGTTTGTTTGTTTATATAAGTTTGTATACGTGTATTTGTGAATAAATACAAATAGATATGGACGCAAATGGTTTTACTCAAGATTTATAAGATGTATATAATTCATAAACACATCTAAGTAAATATCAAATAAACGTAAAACAATCCTATTCACCGACTTGGAAGTCTGAAAGTACTCTCTCCATTTTCCAGACCAAGTCGTTCAGAAACAACACCTTGTAATCAAGTAAAAACTCAAGGATAAGAAAAGTTACATAATTGGAATCCACGGTCTTAGCGTCTGCTGCTTCACTAACTGCCCGGACCCTAGGGTTTTTTCAAGCAGTATAATCCAATCAATGGCAATTCTGCAAACACAGGGTATGATTTCGCAAACAACCAGTACTACGGAACAAAAAATTATAATATTAAATAAAAAAAAAAAAAAAAAAAAAAAAAAATATTATAATATATATATATTATATAATAAATAAAATATATTATATTATAGATAACACACACAACACACACACACACACACACACACACACACACATCACACATGTCCACAGACACAGGGCACACACACACGTCTTTGTACACATGTATGTTGTATGTATGTATGTATGTATGATAATGTATGTATGTATGTATTTGATACTAGATATAGATATAGATCTACACATAGATATACACACATATACCAACCGAACCCGATATCCAACTCTTTTTCCTGGATATTGAATAGCATGCGCTGGGCGGGGCGGGGCGCAGCCTACCCGTGCCGGCCGTTTGCCAGAAGGTATGACACCATATTATTTTTCATATTCTTCAGCATCTGTGTACAAGGCTTTAATATCCAAACTTTATGACACAACTTGGGTATTTTTCCCTCCTTCTTTAATCCTTCTTTCTTCCCTCCTCTGATATTTTTTCAACGATCTATTTTTTTTCTTCGGTTCTCTCCACTCTTTCGTCTTCCAGCTTCCCTCCCTCCCTCCCTCTCTCTCTCTCTCTCTCTCTTATTTTTTTTTTTTTTTTTGTTATTCCGTCGGCTGGACCCTACATCCGGGTACGGCCGCCAGGAGCTGGAGGCCTAGGTACAATCTGCCTCCTGGGACCTTCCCCTTCCCTCTCATTTGGCTCCTTCCCTCTCTTCTCGCTGTCGGAGCACCCCCCCCCCCCCGTCGCCTCATTGAACTCTCTCTCCCCTCCTCACTAAACCATTTCTCTCTCTCTCCTCTCATCGCTAATTTTTTCTCTCTCTCTCCTCTCATCGCTAATTTTTTTTTTTTCTCTCTCCTTTCTTCAGTAAACCATTTTCATCTCTCTTCTCCTCACTATTTTTTCTTCTCTCTCCTTTCCTCACTAAACCTTTTTCCTCTCTCCTCTCCTCGCTTAACATTTTTCCTCTCTCTTCTCCTTACTAAAGTTGTCTTCACTTCTCTCCTCACTATACGTCTTCCATCTTCTCATTAAACCTCTTCCCTCTCTTCTCTCCTCACTAATATTTCTCTCTTCCTCTCTTCACTATACCTTCCTCTCTCTCCTCACCTCCCCTCTCACTCTACCACATCCCCTCTTGCCTCTCCTAACTAAACCTCATCTATTCCCTATCCTCCCCTTCCCTCTCCTCACGGAACCCCATACCTTCCCTATCCCCCCTCTCTCTCCTCTCCCTTTGCCCACACCATCCTCTCCTTCTCCTAAATCCTAGCGACCATCCCATCCTTCCTTGACTAGACTTCTCTGAATTCGTAGACCTCTGGAAGACGCGCTGGAGATGGAGGGGTGATGGAGGGAGCGGGGGGGGGGGGGTAGGTGGGGTGGGGTGGGGTGGGGGAGTCAGACAGGCCGCGAGGGGTGAATTATGAAGTTGGCCCCTCTGCCCCCTTCTCGCGATCAGAGGGGAAGCCGAAGGGGGTTCTGGAGAGAGGGAGAGAGTCAAAGAGGGAGAGAGGAGGTAGGGAAAGGGAAGGAAGGAAGGAGGGGAGGGGAAAATAGGAAGGAAGGGTGGGAGGGAGGGAGAGGGAAAGAAGGCAGGGGGGAGGAAGGGAAGTGAGGGGGGGAGAGGGAAGGAGAGAAGAGAGGCAGTAGAGAGATAGGAGAGAGGAGAGAGAGAAGAGAGAGAGAGAGAGAGAGAGAGAGAGAGAGAGAGAGAGAGAGAGAGAGAAGAGAGAGAGAGACAGACAGACACAGAACAGACACAGAGATTTACAGAGATATATAAATAGATAGATAGACAGACAGACAAACCGACAGACAGAGAGGAAGAAAAAGATCCCAAGAGAAAGAGAAGAGATCTCTTTTTTGGTCAAAACTAAAGGAGACGCGCGAGGGACGAAATTATTCCAACCGCCTTTCGTCTCCTGGAGGATCGGGCAGCTGTTCGAAGATGAGCTGGGCCGGCCCCCGCGATGGAGGGTGGGAAAGCGGC